CCGGACCCGGAGCCTCGTGGGAAGCGCAAGGCGCGAGCACAGGCGAGCGGCGGCGCCGGTGGGACCCCGCGTCCCCGGGAGGGCTGCGGGGCCATGGGGGCTGGGCCAGGCTCCGGGCGGGGTCAGCTCTTCCTCCGCTCCCTCCTCTTCCTCCTGCTGGCCGGGCCCCCGGCACCGCGCCCAGCGGGCGGGCAGCTGCGTTACGCCGTGCCGGAGGAGCTGGAGCACGGAGCCTTCGTGGCCAACCTGGGCGAGGACCTGGGGCTGGACGTGTCCACCCTGTCGGCGCGGCGGTTCCGCATCGTGTCGCGGGCCGGGGCCAGGCAGCACCTGGAGGTGAATCTGGAGAACGGGATCCTCTTCGTGAACGAGCGGATTGACCGGGAGGAGGTGTGTGAGGCCAGGGGGACCTGCCTGCTCCACCTGCAGCTCCTCGTCGAGAGCCCGCTGGAGCTTTACCGCGTCGAGGTGGAGGTGCTGGACATCAATGACCACGCACCCACCTTCCCCTGGCAAGAGTATGTGCTGGAGGTAGCCGAGTCCGCCGTGCTCGGTGCCCGCTTCCCACTGGAGAGCGCCCAGGATCCTGACATGGGTAGCAACTCGGTGCACACCTACCGGCTCAGCCCCAATGGTTTCTTTTCGCTCGAGGTGCAGACACGCAGTGACGCCAGCAAGTTTGCAGAGCTGGTGCTGGAGCGTGCCCTCGACCGCGAGCAGCAACGCACACACCGGGTGCTGCTCACTGCTCTCGATGGCGGTGTCCCTGAGCGGTCAGGCACAGCTCACATCCTCGTCACAGTGCTGGATGCAAACGACAACGTGCCTGCCTTTGACCAGCCCTCGTATGGCGTGAGCCTTCCTGAGGATGCTCCTGCCGGCACCCTGGTCATCCAGCTCAATGCCACTGACTTGGATGAGGGCCTCAACGGGGAGATTGAGTACTCCTTCAGTGGGCACGCACCACCACGCGTCCGGGAGCTCTTCCACGTAGAGCCCCGGAGTGGGCAGGTGCTGCTGAAGGGCCCCCTCGACTATGAGCGGGCAAGCCTCCATGAGCTCTACGTGCAAGCCAAGGACCGTGGACCCTCAGCTGTGGCTGTGCACTGCCGGGTGCTTGTGCACCTCCTCGATGTGAATGACAATGCGCCAGAGGTGACCCTCACCTCTGTGTCCACACCTGTGCTGGAGGATGCCCCACCAGGCACTGTCATCGCTGTCATCAGTGTTCTGGACCGGGATTCTGGGGACAACGGGCGTGTGAGCTGTGAGGTTGGCCCTGATGTACCCTTCGAGCTCCGCTCCTCCTTCCACAACTACTACACACTGGTCACCACACAGGCACTGGACCGGGAGGTTGTGCCCGAGTACAACATAAGCATCACAGCACGGGACATGGGCTCCCCTGCCCTGCTGACCCGCAGCACCCTCACCGTCCCGGTGTCCGATGTGAATGACAACGCCCCACGCTTTCTCCAGCCCTCCTACAGCGTCTACGTGATGGAGAACAATGCGCCAGGAGCCTCCATCTGCTCCGTCAGCGCATTGGACCCCGACTGCCAACAAAACGCCTACCTGTCCTACTCCATTGCTGATGGGCACATCCATGGCATGCCTGTGGGCACCTATGTGTCTATCAACTCGGACAGCGGGCACATGTATGCCCTGCGCTCCCTCGATTATGAGCAGATCCGCAGCTTCCAGATCCAGGTGCAAGCACAGGACGCGGGTTTCCCCCCACTCAGTGCCAATGTCACCGTCCACATCTTTGTGCTGGACCAGAACGACAACGCTCCGGTCATCGTTTCCCCCATGCTGCACAACGGCTCCGTGGCCACTGAGCTGGTGCCGCGATCAGCCGGGCCTGGCTACCTTGTGGGCACAGTGTCAGCGGTGGATGCGGATGCGGGGCGTACCCCCCCCCCTCTCCCCAGCTCCTCCAGGCCACTGACTTCACCCTCTTCAGCGTGGCACCAGACACAGGCGAGCTGCGCACCCTCCGCGCCTTTCTGGAGCAGGATGCAACCCGGGCAGCGGCTGGTGGTGCAGGTGCGGGATGGTGGGCAGCCAGCCCTCTCTGCCACCGTGTCCCTCCTGCTTTCAGTGGTGGAGACCATGCCTCAGACTCTCTCTGACTTCAGCGAGTTTAGTCTCCCCCCGGAGGCCTTCTCATCCTCCCCACTCACCCTCTACCTCCTGGTCTCCCTGGGCTCCATCTCCTTCACTTTCCTCCTTGCCATCCTCATCCTCACAGCCATTCGGTGCCACAGAGAGCAGCACTCCTGCCAAGGTGACGGCTGCTCACTGCGCCGCTGCCACTGCTGTCCCAGGTCCAGATCTTCCCCTGATGGCCTGAAGACATCCAACCTGATGGTGCAGCCCCCCGCGGGGACCACGGCTGCCACCTGCCTTGATGTGCCCGAGGGTGGCCCCCCAGGCTACTGCTACAAGGTCTGTCTCGGTCCTGAGTCTGCCCAGAGTGACTTCATGTTTCTCAAACCCTGCAGCCCGCTCCGGAACAACGAGAAGGACCCAGAGAAGCGGTCCTGGCCAGGCCAGCATCTCCATGTATCCAAGCAGGTAACACCATGCCCAGTGCTGCTTACCAGTGCCCCATGGGTCCCCCCAGCCCCCTCCCTCAGCCTCTGCTGTGGGAGAAACCACAGGCACAGCTTTTCCCAGAGAATAACCAGCGCTTTTGATCAGTGCGGGAATTAGGAGCCGTCAGGCAGCAGGAAACTCTCCACCGAGCTTCCCGACAGGTCTAATTACCGGGGGAGTGTTAGGCTCAGTTGAGACGAGAGGAAATCCCTTCCCGCTGCCTTTTACATCCATTACAGGCAACGGAGATGCTCCGGTGCCCCGGGGGAGGTGGGATGGTGGGAGTGACATCTGCTTCTTGTGGGTGAGCAATTCACGCTGGTACAGCCTGAGCATTGCTGTGCCCCGCTTCCCCTGTGTCGGCGGGGGTCCGCAGTGTCCCACTGCTGCACCCAGGACTGGTCCTGGCCCCGCTGGCACCGCTCATGCCTCTGGTTCTGGCACCCGGGCTCAGCCGCTGTGCCGCACTGGGCTGCACCAGCGTGGAGGCAGCGGGGTCTTTGGGATGGGATATTGATGTCAACATTTGTTAGGTATTAAAATGAGGAAAGTCTAATTTTCCAAATGAAAGACTCTCCAAAACATGATTACAAGGATGGAGAGTGATGAGGCGTCTAATCCATTTACATTTGACTTTTAATAAAACAGCCCTTCCAAGGAGACCCCACAACTCACTGCCAAGAGGCTCTTCCCGCACATCTCCTTGCACCACTGGACTCATTTCTCCAATACGTTAATGGGATTTTCCCCTAGTTGTTTGCAACCCCTCCCCGGGACATTGCTAATTTCTGCACCTTTTACCCTTTGGTGCCTGAGACCTGGGCTAAGTTACCATCGCACCTGCAAAAAAGGCTTTTTAAAATTACAGAAATAGGAAAAGCCCCTCTCTCTCCCCAGAAGGACAGACCTTGGCAATTAAACTCCCAGAGATGGAGAGCAAGCCCCAGACAACCCCAGTGTCTCAGGAGAGTGGGGAAAGTCCAGAAGGGAACAGGCTGGTTCAAGACTGCCTCAGTTTCCCTAAAATGGGAATGTACTGTTTGCTTCTCCACAAAGGAGGAGATGGAGTCCTGCATCCCTGGCTACTGAAGTCTTGTGCTGGCAGGGCTGGGCTGATTAACAGAGGGTCCCAAGGCTGATTAACAGGGGATCCCAATAACCAGCCTTGCTCTTCCCTGTGTTTTCCAGATCAAACAGCGCAACATGGACTGGCTGCCTCCAAGCACGCAGCGGCCTGCTCTGAAGAGGTACCAAATCCAGCACTGTGGGATCAGAGGGAGCGGGTGGAAGGGGGATGTGGGGACAGGGAGGTCATCTCCAATGCAGCTTTGAACCGGTCTCCTCTCTTTAGCTCCCAGAGCCTGGAGGATGTGGGGGAAATCCGCAGAGCCCTCCAAAAGGAGCACGAGAGGCTGTGCACGCTGGTGACCCCTGTCTCTGGTTAGTATTGGGGTGCTGGGGCTGGGAAGACCAGACCCTCTTGTCGCTTGGTGGAGATGCAGTGGGGGGGACACATCCCTGCTCCTAGCAGTGGTAGAGTTTTGTGGCATGGAAGGGGTGTCCAGGCCCCAGAAGGGAGGATGGTGACACATGGATGTCACTGTCCCACTGAGCTATGGATGTGACCTCCCCTGAGTCAGTCTCACATTCATCTTTCCTCCAGAGTTTCAGAAGGCTTCGGCAGGTACCAACAGCATCTGGACACCCCAGTACAGCCCCTTGTACCCAGGGCGAATCCCAGCCCTGGATTATCAGCACAATGTCTACATCCCTGGCACTCCCACTCTGCTTTCCAGCAAAGACGGGCCCCTCTTCCTAGGCCAGGAGAACAAGAACAGCTTCTCCACCTTTGGCAAGAGGAAGAAGACGACAACTTACTGTGACATGCATGATAGTGTGGTTATCAACAACAACCTGAAATAGTGACCAGCACTGGGCCTGGATGGCTCTGCCCAAGGCCCTGGGAATCACTCGCGTTATTTCAGCTGCTGGGTCCACCTGCAGCACACAGCTCCATGTATGGACCACTCAGGACTTCCGCCACTGGGATAGTGGCTCACCAGAGTGTGGGGAAAGGATTTAAGGAGCAAGAGACTGAGAAGTCATAGGGATGGGCAGGAGGAGGGAATTTCTCCGATCTCATCCTGCAGACCTGTGTTGGCAGCAGGTGCTGTTGGGGGTCCATACGACCAGATTTGAGCAAATCTGCCTTGAGTTTACCCATTCCCATGTCCCCTTAGGGACTGTTCATCTCTGTAAACATTGTCACTTCCTTGTCTTGTCTGGCTCTGTGAATGTACTGAGCTGCATGCCTGTATCTCTGTCCCAGTAGGCATGGAAAACGTATGCAGATCAAGCCTGGTTCAGTCAAGCCTGACCCCACATACTGGGGCAGTGACCATTGCTCTGTCCTCGAGATCCAGTGGGATGTGTTGCAGGTCCAGAGCAGCCATTGGTGTCTGGCTTCTCTGGGAAGTGAGTGCAAAACCCAGCCATTATGGGTGCTTCTCTTCAAACCCTGACCCGACACTTGCAGGGCTGGAGACCCAAAGTCCAGGACACAGCCAGTCTTTGCACTGGGAGCAGCATGGGCTGGAGCACACACAGATTGGATGGCCAGAAGAGCTGTTAGCTTAAGCAGCTGAGAGATGTACAAGGTGAGGCCCCGCTGGGTAACTCTCTAGCCCAAGGCAACATCATCTGAACAAAAGTTTCCAGCCATCGGAAGGGCCCCAGCACAGGTAACAGTAACTCTTCCCTCCTCCCCCTGCCCTCACCTGGATCTGTTTTCCCCAAGTCCTGAGCACCTCAGGTAGCCCCTGCACTGGGAGCCTCACCTGCATAGGACAGACATCTCCCACTGCGCCCTGCTTCTCTTTGAGGATTTTTAACTGGCTGTCAGGAGCCCTCAAGGGCAGGACTCCAGCCCCAGAACAGTCTACTCCCCTGCCCTGCTCACCCTACACCTGTCCACCCGGTCTGTCTGCTAGCATTGCCAATCGCACCTGTCACGGGACAGCTCATTTCCAATCCATCTGTGCAGAACATGACAGCTCTTTCTAAACCAAGTTTGTTTCATAGTGTCTGATTTGTACCAATAAATTGTATTTTAATAGCTCACCCTGGCTCCTGGCTGTACCTGAGATGCACA